AAAAAGAAGAGGAACTGAATCTCCCTTCCCTGTCAAAACACATAGCATGATACCATGCTGACTTGACTTGATGTAGTTTTGCTGATTTGGTCCATTTGGTGCTACTCTAACAAAAGACCTATAACCAGGTAATTTCTAACTCACAGAAATGTGTTGGCCCCCAGTTTAGAGACTGAGAAGTCCAAGATCAAGGTGCTAGCATCTCGCAATGACCTTGCTGTATCATCACATGGGGGGAAGCGTGAGAACAAAGGGCCAAAAGGGGCTCAATCTCATCCATTTTAAATAGCATTCATCCCATTCCTGGAAGCAGTGTCTTCAGGGCCCTACTACCTCCCAAAGGTCACATCCCCTAACATCACCAAACAGCAACCAGATTTCAACGTGAGTTTGGGAAATTAAAAGCTTTTGAATCATGTCATCAGCACACAGCAACAACGACTTTTTAAAATGTCTCTGGATCTGCATCTTTGAAGTGAGAGCCAATCCAGAAGTCAATATGGCAGAAGGTAATTGAGTTTCAGCTCTCACCACTGATGACTGGATGATCTTAGTTACTCGGCATGAAACCCACTGTAACAGGACAGCGGACTTTTTTGTACAGGGCCAGTCAATATTTTAGGCTTCCCAAAATCTTTTTAGAATTACTCAACTGTGCTGTGTATCATGAAAACAGTCACACAATATTTAAACAAATCAGCTTGGTTGTGTTCCAATAAAACTTTATTTAAAGACTAAGTTGTAAGCTAGACTTGGCCAGATGGCCAAACACTGGGGCCCCCTGCTAGCATTCAGAAAAAGATACATACTCTACCATACCTAGAACATCTGACTAGACTCCACTCCCTGCCAGCTCCACACCCTTGCTTCCTCCACTCCTCGCATTGCATGCCTTGCTTTGGGCTGCAATGGTCTTCCCTGGAAGATGAATTACAAGCATGATCCTGCCTCAGGACTTTTGTCTTGACATTTTTCTTTTACAGAGTACCCCTTCCCAAAAACTCATGGGGCCTATGTCCATAATTCTCTCAGGTGTCTGGTCAAATACAACATTATCAGAGAGATTTTCCTGGCCCACCCTTCTAAGAGGGCATGTAGAATCTCTCTATGGTGACAAACCAAGCCTTATTTCTTCCCCATGGGGTTTATCACTAGTTAATGTATTACTGATTTGTTAATTGTTTCTCCCACCAGTGTATGTTTCATGTGAACAGGGATTCTGTTGTGTTCACTATTCACTCCTCACACCTGCTAATCAGCATATTGTATGAGCTCAAGAGATGTTTGGGTCAGGGGAGGAGGAGGGGGACAGAGAAGGGAGGAAGAAGGGAAGAGGGAGGGAGTGAGGAAGCCAAGAAGGAATGGGGTCTTTGGATGCGATACCACATCAGTGGGCTCCAAGTATCTCTAAAGACTTGCTCCATGCAGAAACGCAGCAGTTTCCCCAGCTCCTGCATGGCTTGATTATTTTACAGACACGGCCTTTACTGTGTCGCAAGCGCTACGGCACTTAGACCCAGGCTGGCCTGGAGGGACTCAATCTTTTCTTTAATGTTATTCTGGACCGGTTTCACAAACACAGTGTTCCAAAGAGTACTTCTGGCTACTCCCTGTCTTATTTTCCCTTTTCTGTAATTAGTTATGGTCAAGAAAGCATCTGCCAATAAATCTTTTCAAGGGTTTTTTAATTGAGATGCTCGTGTTCAAATGTTTTACCCTCCAAACAAAATGCTCAAGGGAAGTCATGTTCCATGCACTGTAACAAGAGCTAGGGCTCTGTTTTTAACAAACATGGCTAATGGTCAAGCAGTGGGGAAATGAGTAGTTCATGAACAAGGCAAGCAGGCAGTGAGAAAGCTCAGAGAATGGATTTGGCCTCTAGCAGAGCTCAAATTCTGGCTTCAGTACTTAGCAGGTCTGCAGCTTCAGTACTTAGCAGGTCTGCTCAGTTTTCTCACATTTAAAATTGAGATCATACACCTCTATTTTGTACGACTGTTTTGAGGAACAAAATGAGTTGATGAATATGAAATGCGTTGTAGAGTACCTGTCAGTTTTAAAGATCTAGTTCTTGTCGGTCCACATTACTGTTGTTAAGACAGGGACATCTGAACCCTTAAAGAGATGTTCTCTGACACATCCCAGAGGCCGAGCTGAGGGCAAGACAGTTGATTTCCAGCCAATGGAGAAATGAGCTGGCAGGACAGGAAATGCTACTGGGTTCATATGAAACTGCAGGAATGCATGACTATGAATTAAATTGCTGTGCAAACAACAGAGTTCCATAGCCAGCGGGACACTGAGTTGCTTCCACAAAAGGAAGTAGCAGAATTGGGCAAAGCTGAGATTTAGGAAGGAAAATCTTTTGACAGAGTACAACGGAGGTCCCTGGAATCTGAGACTTGCCAAAGACTACACGTTCCCACCTCCCCAAGAACTACGACCAGCCTCCATCCCAAGCACTTTGAAGAGAAGACACATTCAGCAGGCAGGGCTGAGGTCTGGAAAGGGCAGTCCTTGGTGAACACAGGCCAGGCTTTGCCTTTCAAAGGAAACTTAATATCTAGCCTCATCAGAAATGTTAGGTCATTGACTTGTTCTACAGGAGCTGGCCCAAGATGAGAGGAAACAAACAGTTCTCTCATTCTTGAAGCCAAAGCAAGACTCTACGTATTTCAAAACACACAGCCTGTCTAAGTTGATGGTTAAGAGGGTTGTTGATGAAAACAGGCCTCCTCTTTTTCCACCAGTAGTTCTGAGCCCTCTGGTAGTGTCATCTCCACATGGAGTGTGAGAGGGAGATCTCCATTTTCTCTGAATCTGATATAACCAATGCTGTATAGCCAGATTTTCCCACCTCTTCTAAGCAGTTGAATCACTGTAATAGTGAGCTCAGACACCCTAGGGCAAACAGGAAATGAGTAAATATTGTCAAGGCTTTCAATTGCTTTTGTCCCCCTAAAAGTAACAGGTATATCCAGTGGTAGCAAGAGCACAGCAAAGTACTCTGAACCAAAAATGCTTTTTGTTCTCTAACAGCACATTCATAATTGAGCCTAAGTACAAGCCCTACATTTTCTAGAACAATCCTGATTCATGTTTTATAGTTTAATGATCTTTTCAATGATAATTCTTTACTAAATGACTGCTGCATATGGTATTGTATGCCTTTCACATAGGTGGAAACATGAGATCTATTGTCATCATGCTTAATTTGAATCCATTTGAGTTACCTCCCAGGGCCCTCTTTTCTTCTCAGTTTTCAGGTTCTTTCTGAGGAATGTCAGCTACTTCCTCTGCATTTACAGCAATAACTCCCAAATCTGCACACATCTTATGCACGAGTTAGGTCCCCAAATTAGAGATCGAAGCAAAAATCCTGACCACTAGCTTAAAGTGTCCAGCAACTGCAGTCTCCTGTCTCCCATAAGCTCACTCCAGGTCAGATGCTCATTGTATAGAACAGTGGATTCCACTTCTGTTCTACTTGGCATTCTCGCCCCTTCTCTCTTGCTTTTGGTGAGTGAATCAGTCCGACTTCCAGCAAGGCCTCTGGTTCAAGCAGAACCGCTAGGCAATGCATACAAACATCACTGCAAGGCCATTCTCTTTGCTGGTTAAGGGAAGTTGAATGTCACACAGAGGAGATCAAGTGTTAGACTGGAGTCCACAGTAAGCCCAGCCCACACGCATGGACTAAAGCTCCCGTTAGTCCTTATTGCCTCTCACTTTCATAGTGTTGGTGCTCTGGAGAACCTGGAGCCCTTTGTCCTGCAGCTAAACACACACGCACCTGAGCTATAAGTCGGAAATGCCTAGTCTCAAGTCAAGGGTACATACAGCAATGGCAGGGCCACTGCTTCAGGCCCCCACAATGAGTCAGCAGGTCAGCAAGGTGTGTGAGCTACAAAATGTGGCTGCTTTGCTTCACCCTCCTAATCTCACAACTCTTCCCTGTGACACCCAAATTGAGAGACAAAAAGGGAATTCTGGGAAATTTAGTTCAGCCTACCCAAGTTGATTTTTTACAAAGCCAACACAGTACTTGTTGAATGCTCTACAATAAATATGGCCGAGACCTATCTCCTGATCAAGATCCCCATATAGAAAAACTTTCTGTACCCTCCAGCCTGTTGCCCCCACAAATACTCTCATCTCACCATGCTCCTTCCTTCCTGTAATAACTTCCCTTGCAAGTCTATCCCTTTCCTAACCTTAGTTAGATCCATGATGCATTAGCATCTGGGAAAAGCAGCAGCAGATGGCCCCAGTCCTTGGGCCTCTGCATACTTGTGGGAGATCCAGAGGAAACTCCTGGCTTCTGGATCAAGTGTGGCCCAGTCCCTGCTGTTGCAGCCATTTGGGGAGTAAACCAGCATTGGTTTACTCTGTCTCTGTTTCTCTCTCTCTAACTCTTCCTCTCAAATCTTTCATATAAGCTAAAATAAAATGCAGCATCAACATACACCTTTCATCTACAGATTGACATTCGCATTACCCTTATTACTTCAGCTCTCTCTCTCTTTGCTGGGAGATATATGGCATATACAAAGAGGACAACAGGAGGAGAGCCATAAAGAGACTATTCACAAAGGAATGAGAAAACAAAGAATATCACAGAACAGCCAGGCCCCATTGCCATACCTGCACCTGAGAGGGGGAACAGAAGGATGGTCACAGAACCCAGAGACAGGAAAATTCAATTAGGTTCACGGAGAAGGCCATACAACAGAAGCTGTGAAGAACCCACCTGGAGGGCAGAGGTCAAGGGAACACAGCAATGTAGCCCATCCAAATCAGCCACAGGAGATGCAGAATAGTAGAGAGAATGGTGAAAGAGTGGAGCCATACAGGCAATGCAACACACCCAGTATGCTCATCCCACACTTGGAAGATCAGTAAACACATAAGAAAATTGACTTTATCAGTTCAGAACAGTGAGAGCCTGCAGGAATGAGGATTCTAAAGGACATTGTGCATAAACCCGAATTATGAGCAGACACAGGCTTTATTCAGTGTGCATTGCTTAGAACAATGGGAACCCCCGCAATGTGTCTGTAGGCTGGTTAGAAGAGGACCAGGTGACAGCTTGAGTCTGGAGGTAAAGTTTAACTGACGGGAGGAGAGGAGGAAGTGAGCATGGTACTCACTCCCTTGAAAACGGCAGTTCAAGGACGAGTCCCTGGAGACCAACAGTCTTGTCGTTCAAGAGGTGCAAATCCAGGGTCTCCCTTTTCTTTCATCTGCAACAAGACCACAAGCCTATGACACTGTAATGACCGCAGAGTTATGTGTGTGGCTGGTGGGTTTGCAAGTTCCTCTTGTATCTCTCCATCTAACTAGTCAGCTTCACTTAACAATAGAGCGAGCGGCTCTTGCTAAAGAAAATGGAAGGAGAAGGCTTCATGGAAAAGAAGATGATGGAAGGTTAAGACAGACCAGTCATGACTATATCTGAGAAAACTACTGAAAATGTGGCTTATACATCCATTTATTCAGCAGAGTTACATCAAGCACATATTCCATGCAGAAAATAAGAGATAAGAATGAGAATGATGGAATCAGGAATAGTTGCTCATAGTCTAGAACTATAAGACACAACAATGACACATGACAGAGAGAAGAGATGCCCATGAAGTGATGACTTGAGATGCAACATTCACCAGCTTGTGTGACCTTGACCTTCCTTGGATTCGCAAGTCCATCGTCGTCTTCTACTAACCAGAGCAATGACCACCCCTCCCACTCCATAGGATTCTTCTGAGGATGAAACAAAATGATACATTAAAAATCAGTGTTGGCTGGTGCCATGGCTCACTAGGCTAATCCTCTGCCTATGGCGCCGGCACACCGGGTTCTAGTCCCAGTCGGGGCGCTGGATTCTGTCCCGGTCTCTCCTCTTCCTTTCCAGCTCTCTGCTGTGGCCCAGGAGTGCAGTGGAGGATGGCCCAAGTGCTTGGGCCCTGGAAAGACATGGGAGACCAGGAGAAGCACCTGGCTCCTGGCTTCGGATCAGCGTGGATCACAGCGGCCATTGGAGGGTGAACCAACGGGAAAAAAAGGAAGACCTTTCTCTCTCTCTTTCACTGTCCTTTCTGCCTGTCAAAAAAAAAAAAAAATCAGTGTTACAAATTCCATTCTAGTAAGCCTAAAAAATATTCATCCCTTCCTCTCTTCCTCCTTACATTAGGAAATCAGAAGATTTTAATGAAGTATGGGTGGGTATGTGTTATCTTAAAAGCTAACAGCAAAAGGAAAAATACCATTATTTAGAAAAACATTTTACAGGGCAAATCAGATTGTGAAAAGATGGGTTGTAGGCATGATTTAGAAGAAGGAGAAGATGAAAATTAAGTAAAATTTATTTTACTGCTGATATATTTAACATTCCCAGATAAAGAAGTTTCCAGAAACAAAGAAGAAAGAAGGGTCCAGCAGAACGGGGTTGGGGACAGGAGGTGGAAGAGCATGAGAAGAGGACCCCCCAGTGGGAGACTCCTGGCAGTGGGCAAGGCCAAGGGACAACCACAGACCTGGAAGCCATGTTAAACGATTGGCATTGTCTGCATGGATGGGTTGTCACTTTTCTTCATTACAAATATCCTAATCCTGAGTTAGGGACACTTTCAGGAAGCTTTCCAACAGGGTTTGTGGCACCTTTGGGTACACATGAGGAGAACAGAAAGGGTAGCCAGAGGAGACGAACCTGCCTTGAGATCAAGAACTGTGCCCTGACAACAGCACACTGGACAGAGAAGCGAGAAGGAGAACGGAAGCCCCCAGGTGCTCCAAAAAACGTCCAGGCTGCAAACGGACAACCACTGGATGTGGGACTGGGAGCCTTTTTCTGCTTGCTTCTAAATATTAAATGAGAGGATGACCCCTAAGTCCTCAGGACTTGGATTCCTAGACAGAGAATATTTGAATTATTTATGTAACCCACATACCAAACGTAGCTGCTTGCCCCTCAACAACCGAGTTGAACTCCATTTGAACTCCATTTCCTTAGCATGAGGGTCCACACTGTAGCACCACCTGTTTTCTGCGAGTCCTCAACCTCAGTTCCCCATGGGCCCTCCATCCATCCCTGTTCCTGTGCCAGCAGCAGCTTCTCCATTCTACTCCCCAGAGATACCAGAAAGCTATCCCCTAGAGCTAAGCACCTCTGACCCTAGTAACATTACTACATCAGCATCTGCCACATTCCCCCACTCCTTACCCAGGGTGCTGGCCACAGAAGCTCTTCTCTGCCACCTCGGCCATGGGACAGAGGCCAACCCCCTGCTCCTCCCAGGGGACCAGGCTCCCAAGCCTTATGACCCACCCTACCCACCCACTTATACCTCAATGATGCAGATTGCAGATTTGTAAGTTTTTCATTTGCAGAGTAGCTCAGAAGTCCATTCAGTTTTAAGCAAACAAAGACTTCTGGTGCACTCTCTATGAAGGTTTATAGTTTTGGTTGCTCCTCTTCCAGTCCAGCTCTCTGCTGTGGCCCAGGAAGGCAGTGGAGGGTGGTCCAGGTACTTGGACCCCTGCACCCACATGGGAGACCAGGAGGAAGTACTGGTCCTGGCTTCGTATCCGTGCAGTGTGCCGGCCGTAGCGACCATTTGGGGAGTGAACCAATGGAAGGAAGACCTTTCTCTCTGTCTCTCTCTCTCACTAACTCCGCCTGTAAAAAAAAGTATAGTTTTATTTGAACTTTGCTCATTTTCTCCTATTTTTAGCTTGATACAGAAGTTAGATCAGGCCAGTAGAAAGTGCTAATAAGAACTGGAGTGATAAGTGTTCCAAAACTGTTCTACCAAGGGGTGGGTGTTTGATACAGCAGTCAAGATGCTGCTTGGGACACCTGCATCCCCTATCAGAGTGCCTGGGTTTGAGCCCAGCTCCACTCCCAGTTCCAACTTTGACACACACATGGGGCACCCAGATGCAGATCTGTCTTCCGCTTAGCCCAGCCCTGGTTGTTGCGGGCATTTTAGAAATTTATAGATAAAAGATCTGTCTGTCCTTTTCTTTTTCTTTCCCACTCTCTCTCAACCTTTCAAATAAAATCCAATACAATCCCATCAAGGTGGCATGTACCAATGCCATCTCACTAGTCTAAGTGATCAATTTCAGTTCATAATTGATCACACTGATAGGTCTAAATGTCAAAGGGATCACACAAACAAGACTAGTGTCTGCTAATACTAACTGATAGAATCAAAAAGGAGAGAACGATCCAACATGGAAAGCGAGATACACAGCAGACTCCTAGAATGGCAGATGTCCTAAATAGCACTCTGGCCTAAGAATCAGCCCTTAAGGCATTCGCATCTGGCTGAAGAGCCCATGAGAGTATTTTAGGCATGGAAAGCCAAGACACTCTGGGGGCGGGGGGGGGGGGGGAGGGAAGACCACCTAAATGAAAGATCTCTGCGAGTGAGATCCCAGTGGAAAGAACGGGGCCATCAAAGAAGGAGGTACCTTTCTCTGAAGGGAGGAGAGAACTTCCACTTTGACTATGATGACCCTGTCGGAATAAGATCGAAGTCGGGGAACCCAAAAGGCTTCCACAGCCTTGGCAACTCATGACTAGAGCCTAGGGAGATTACTGACGCCATAAACAAGAGTGTCAAATTGTTAAGTCAACAACAGGAGTCACTGTGTGCTTACTTCTCATGTGGGATCTGTCCTTAATGTGTTGTCCAATGTGAAGTAATGCTATAACTAGTACTGAAACAGTATTTTACACTGTGTTTCTTGTGTGGGTGCAAACTGATGAAATCTTTACTTGATATATACTAAATCTTCTGTATATAAAGATAATTGAAAATGAATCTTGATGTGAATGGAATGGGAAAGGGAATGGGAGGGGTGCGAGTGGGAGGGAAATTATGGGGGGCGGGGGAAGCCATTGTAATCCATTGACTGTACTTTGGAAATTTATATTTACTAAATAAAAAAAGATTAAAAAAAAGAAATTTTAGAAGTCTAAAACAATCTTTTTTTAAAAAAGTGCTCATCCAAGCCCATTTGGGATTTCCTAGGGGTATGTCTATCTGCCTCTTCCCCTCCCTCCCTCCCTCCCTCTCTCTCTCTCTCTCTCTCTCTCACACACACACACACACACACACACACCAGCAATAGCAGCAGCCACTGCTGCCGACTGGATTAGTCCCACAACCCACCCCTGATGGAATCAAGGATGGCCAGGGCTGTTGGAATGACTCCACTGACCAACACCACCAGCCCCAGTGCCCAGTGATGTGCTCAGCAGAGCTGAGATCCAGGACAAAGGAAAGACAGTGAGAGCAGAGAAAGCCAGGGGAATATTCCCATGTCTGCTTCTGAGGCTCAAGGTCAACGTTGTCCCCTATATTCTGAATTACTACATGCTTGGTCAGCCCTTGGCACGCTATATTCCGAAGGGTTAGCCATTGCCTATCAAGAAAGAAAGGCTTGAAGGGAACTCAGGTCTTCTTCCCAGTTTTATCTCAAGCTAACAATCAATTGTCTGCCCGCACCTCTTCCTGGCCATGTGGCCTTGGGCAAGTCTTGTTTTCTGAGTGTGTTTTATCACCTACAAAAACCAGGCTCTAGGGGGAGATAACTGAAGCTCACCTCTGCTTTAACATCCTGGAGCCATGAATTCAGTGTCATAATTGCAAACTGCAGCTTCTCTGCCTCCCCGTTAGAAAAGGTGCCTTTTGCCAGCACCGTGGCTCACTAGGCTAATCCTCCGCCTTCCGGCGCCAGCACACCGGGTTCTAGTCCCGGTCAGGGCGCCGGATTCTGTCCCGGTTGCCCCTCTTCCGGCCCCTCTCTGCTGTGGCCAGGGGGTGCAGTGGAGGATGGCCCAAGTGCTTGGGCCCTGCACCCCATGGGAGACCAGGAGAAGCACCTGGCTCCTGCCATCGGATCAGTGCGGTGCGCCAGCCATGGCGGCCATTGGAGGGTGAACCAACGGCAAAAGGAAGACCTTTCTCTCTGTCTCTCTCTCTCACTGTCCACTCTGCCTGTCAAAACAAAAAAAAAAAAAAGGAAAGGAAAGGAAAGTGCTTTCCTGTGGATCAGATCACTTACTAACTTTTACTAACTTGTCCAGAAAGCCCTCATCAAAAGGAGGTATTAAATTTAGTCTCATCCAATGTTCCCAGCACATGCACATACAAATGCATGCATGCCCACATACATGCACCCGTGCACACCCCTTCTCTTGGAACTTGGTGTTATATGTAAACTATGTTTACCTTTGAAATTATTAAGGTCTATCTTCTTCAGATAGGAAGGGTCTTCAAAAAAAGTTCATGGAAAATACATACCACAAAAAAACTACAAGGATTTCAAAACTACTTTGCAACAAAATAAACTTATCTTTTAATTTCATTTTTCCACCAACTTTTTACAGCACCCCTTACGTGAACTGCCTCGACTTCTGAACTAACCGCTGGCACCTCCATAGCGCTTCTCCAGGTGCCAGGCAGGCACTGCCCTAAGCGTTTTTCAGGTATTAACTCAGTGATATTCATGATAGCCCTGTGAGGGAGGCATCTCCCAAAAGATACCGTGACCACAGGTTTGGTGGACAAATATGATCAACGGAGATACCCTGACTCTCTTTTATCTCCTGTATATTTGTTTTGCCTGCTGGATGCATTGAAGCCTTTTTTTCTTGTTGGAAAATGGAAGGGGAGGTGGGTTGGGGAGGGGGCTGCATTCTTACAATCTGCTGCTTCCCATCCTGCCACCTGCCACTGCCCCCGCCACTGGCGCTCCATGCAGAATAGCATCAGGCTGCCATGCCTCTTTGCAAGTGATTGCAGAAGCACCTTCCTTGGACTCCATTTGTTCTCTAGATACAAACAATTCCCATGCAAAGGATGAGACCAGGTCTCAGGTGGTTGCGAACAAAAAGCTGGACCCTGACGGGCAGTCTGGAAAAGACAGAGTGCACCTGCACCGCTGAGATCAGATGCAAAGGTCGGAAGAGACAAAAGTAATAAAACTGTCATTTAAAGTCTCCACTTACTTCCCTAGCAATGGCTCTTTCCACCTCTTTTCTTTGTAATGTTATTAAATATTTTATCTGTTTCCACTGCCTTGAATCC